GAGACTTGAGATGACAGGCCCAGGGAAAGGGCCAGCCAAAGAGAGGTGTCACAGGTATGAGACCCAGCTTTACCTGGAGTGAACAGATGGTCTCTTCACTTAGACCCATTTCCTCCGCTATTCTCGGGTTCCCTGCCAGTCTGGGCCCCGCTCACTATGTCCTGATCCTTACAGCTGAATTAGGGACTCCTTAGAAGGACAGACCATTAACAGATGAGCTTGACGACGTGTTCAGCATGATACTCTTCCTGCTGTCCCACCTGATCTCTGCTCAGGCCTCAGGCCTCAGACATCCGGCCTGCTATGTCAGGCCTACTTCTTTTCCCTGGCCTCCATCCAGGGTTCAGCAACAGAAGCAGGCCCTGGGAACAAGGGAAGCCAGCAGAGAGGACACCATGTATTTTGTTTATTAAAGTTAATTGGTGAATGTGGGCCCAGGGAAGCCTATGGTTCATTAGCATCCTGATTAATATACAGCTGCTAAGTATTAAGAAAAATGAAATGGAAAGGAGTAAACCCCCAAAGGAGAAGTTGGAAAAAATCAAGAAGCTCTCCGCAGACATCTGATGCAGACCTTTGTCCCACAATGAAATTTGAACGAACTGAATTCAAGTGATATTTCACCATTTGCAGAGCTGCCACGAAGACCCATTCCAGCCTTAATCCCTTGAGCCTGGGAAAGGAGCAACTTGGAGCAATTAGCAGCTCAGGCAGGTTGCAACCAATTACACAAAGAGAAACACCTGGTTATCTCATTGATTTTAATTTCAGGATCCTTACACTGTCAGGTCAACGCAAGCTTGGGTACGAAGAGGCTTGCAAGCAGGAATGTGACACTGGGCTCTGGCAGTAGTTCATCCCTTTAGGTATTCAGCAAACGTTTGGGATGAGTAGAATGCAGTCCCACCCAGGGCATGCAAGGCGCCCTGGAGGGTACTGGTGTGTATGAACTGTGGCAGCATTGTGATTAGTCAGTGAAGGTGTGTATATGGGGGGAGGGAGGGGTGCAGGGCACTAGAAGAAGCTCTGAATGGTGTCCTATGAAGTTGGCAGAAAGGGAAAGTCATTTCAGGCAAAGACTGGTGGGTTTGGTGAAACTGGAAGGTTTCAAATTACTGAGAGTGGAGAGTAGAAAGGGACGGTGGAAACCAGGATCCTGGAAGCCCTAGTGTGCTGTGCTAGGGGATTTACTTGATCCTATTGCTGGTGGGGACTCTCATAGGCTGTCAGGCAGGAGTGGGACATCCAGGAGAACCATGTGGCTTTTGGTGTTATTGAGCTGGGAGGGAGGATGAATTTGGTTGGGGGGAAGATGGCAATTGTGGTGTGCAATTTCAGAGGAGTTTTGAGATGCCTCTGGGACAGCTATGTGGAGACGGCCTGGAGGTAGTCAGATACATTGTTGGGAACTCAGGAGAGAGCATGGGCTGAGGATAAGTTTGGGGGTCCTGGATTGTGGATGGTAATGAAAGCCCTCAGTGGTCACTCATTTATTTGATGTCCCTTTTTTACTCCTACCATGAGGGGTGGGTACTGGCGACATGAAAATAGGGATGCCCAGCCTGCCCTCCCAGAGACTAGAGGGGACACTGAGGAGCAGGCAGTGACACTAGATACTGTGTACACATAACCCAGCCAGGGGAGACTGTTCTGGAAGAAACAATTTAGGTAAGGAAAGGGACTGCCAGGGCATTCCTGGCAATGAGGGTGCCTTTGGGGAACACAGCTTGTGCATTGTGTATTGGTAGGTGGGGGGATATCCGGAGAGGGCAACAGACAAGATATGTGGGGGCCCTGGCTGTAGAAGACTGTGAACAAGAGTCTAAAGGGGAGAGAGCAAGACCAAGGGCAGAACCGGGGGATGCTGTGTGTGGGTCGGCAGGGAAGGGCGGTCACTAGCACCAACCAGAAGGTCTGGGGAGCCACAGGCTGAAGGATCTACCAGGTGTCACCAGGGACCTTAGCAGAAGCCACTTCATGTGAGAACTAGGGTGGAAACCTGATTGCAGTGGGCTGAGAAGTGAGGAGGAAGTGAGAAAATATGCTCAGAAAGTGTTGGCAGCTCTTTCTAGAACCTTGGCTGTGATGGGAAGTAAGGAAGGTGTTTGGCTCAGGGAGACCTGCTGTTTGATGGGAGAACAGTGTGTTTGTGTTTGTGCAATAGTGTGTATATGGTGTGTGTGTTGTATATGTATATATGGATGGTGTGTGTGTGTTGCTTTAAAAATGGAGACTTGAGATGACAGGCCCAGGGAAAGGGCCAGCCAAAGAGAGGTGTCACAGGTATGAGACCCAGGTGAGGTACAGCATGGATGGGATTGGAGCCAGCAGAGGCAAGCTGGGAGTTTGGAAAGAGGAAGGGTGAGGAACAGGAGAATTGTGAAGGCTCGGAATGGCTGATGGGGGAAATGAGAGAGAGAGGCGGTTAGAACACAAGACAGGGTGCCCAGTGGCCCTGAGGACCTCCTGAAGGTGGGAGAGCAGGACTCTGCAGCAACCCTGTTTACAGGGTCATTATTTCCTCCAGCATCACTTAAATTCCTGAGCGTGGAAAAAAAAGACAGCGCTTGATTGTGGAGAGCCAGCGTGGGGCTTTTGTGGGTGGGTGTGACACAGAGTTGAAGGGAAGAGTTGCGGAGGCCCCCAGCAGGTGACTGACATGATGGAACCCCAGATTTAGGTGGAACAGGAAGGCAGCTAGTGCTTGAGGTCTTGGAGAAGTCAAAGGTCAGCTTTTCTTGAACCCATGCCCCAGCTCCATTGTCATCTAGCAGATAAGTCCTTTTAAGAGCCATCCACTCTGTGTTCTCTGCTTGCACTTGATAGATGTTACAGAAGTCTGAATGTTAAAAGGTCAGTGTGCCCCAGGCCTGGATGGGTCTACTGCCTTACCTCCCTGTAGGAAAGAAAAGTAATTGCAAGCTCAAAGGTCATAAACATCTTAGCAAACCTTTGTCCCATGGGCAAAACATCTTTTTACAAGCATACCCAGGGAGCCTTCAGTTGGGCTGTTTTCTAGCTGACGTTAAGTGTTTGTGATAAAATGTCTGCCTCAGTTGGAGACCTGCTTTCCTGTCTTCATAAATACATTGCCCACATGCATCTTCCCTTGGAGGCTGATGAACTTCCATGCTTCGTATGAAGCCAGAGGAGAAGGAACAGTATGGACAAAGATGTCCTTCCTTCATTCAGCAAACAATGGAGAACTTATTGTGTGCTTGATTTGGGTAATGCGGAGATAAATGGAACGCAGCCCTCTGGGGAGATAGGGATGTGAGCAGTGATAAGCACATGCAGTGATAGAGACAGGAACGGGGTTATGGGTAACTCCTTAAAGGAGGCATTGGCCTGGGCTAGGTCTCACAGGTCAAGTCTGAGAGAGCAGAAAGGTACAGAGGCAAGAAACAATCTGTCAAGGAATACATGAGGACCTGGACACAGCTGACATCCTGGGTCTTTTATGCAGATGAGATCTCTGGCATGGGGGTTCACTGTGTTTGTGTCCTGAGCCAAAAAGAAAAGCTCAGGCAGTTGGAGAAAAAGCCAAGAGAAATAGTATTATGGTGAAAGCATCCAAAAATCAAGATGTAATTTTTGAGGGAATCACTGCCTGGCTTTCAGTCATAGCCAACTTCATGGCTGTTCATGAACTGGTGTGTTAGGAACTGCTGGGTTGGCACCTCCGAGTCTCAGCTGTTCAGAGCTGGGAAGGACCACAGAGGGTAAGGGGAAAACTGAGGACCCAGGGAGAAGTGGGACCCAGGGAGTCAGGCCAGCGGGGTGCCACAGACTGGTAGGCGATCCTGAGAAAGTAATGTGATCCTGCTGAGCTTGCATCCTCAGCTACAAGGTAAAGATGCTGGGTGGGCTAACCTGGTTGGGAGGATGCAGCAAGACGAGGCTTGTAGTTTAGCACTGTGCCTGGCAAATGCAAAGTGTTTAAAGATCAGATAAAGCAGAGAAACAGAAAATAAAAAGCTTTCCTTAAACATTTTATCTACATTAAAACACCAATGTGTCTGCTGATTGGATTATAACTTTTTTTTTTGCACAAAACCTCATCCATAATTGCCTGCAATGTCCACTTTTGTGTTTTTAAAGCAGAGCAAAAACTTACAGGTCCTGACAAAACAATCTGTGCAGAATCCTTGTAGATTTTTATGATCCTTGCTCCAATCTGTAATTATCTCCTTCAGACCTGATTTAATAGTTGTTTTATTAGACTCACCTTTATTCATTCAGCTGAACTTGTATTAGACAGCTGCCCAGTTTTTTTGCCATTTCAGTGGGTAAGGAGATTTAAATGAATTACAAATTACAGTCATGTATATAATATGGGACAAACAACTTTCATGCATTAAAAGAGATTTTTTTTCAACATAACTAACTCTTGACAGGCCACCTCACCTGGTGGAAGCAGAGATGTGCAGGTACACTAGCCCCTGGTGGTCTGCATGCTATGGGCATCACCTTGGAGGTTTAGGAAGGAATGGAAGGGGATGCAGCAGGTTGGAGACAGGAAGATCATCTACGTACTGTACTATAAATATACTTATATATAGTATACTGTAATGTATATAGTTGACAAGTTTCTTTTATATACATTATATAGTATCTTATAGTGTACTATAATGTAAATATAATTGATGAGATATAGTGTACTATATTATATATAGTATAGTATATAAATACAGTATACTATAATGTGTATAAATAGTATAATGGATGTTCATTTCAAAGCAGCAAGTTGATGTAATAAAATGACTGGGCTTTGCAGCCATGTTGATCTCCTTGTTCTGGAACCTTGGGCAGATTTTGTGTTTCTGGGTCTGTTTTCTCAATTATAAAAGGGGGATGCCATCCCTTTCTCCAAGGTGTGTGTGAGTGAAATAATCAAGTGTGGCCCATGGGAGACACACAACACTGGTTCTCCCACCACAGAGCTGATTCAAATCAGCTACCCTCTGGAGTTTGGTGATCTCAGTTTCCTGTGCTTTCAGAAGTCAGGTCTCTAGCCCCTCTATCGCCACCTCCAGTGCCAACCGCCAGCTGATGATGCTGGAAGGGAAGTCAGGACCCTACTTTTCCTCTCTGGACTTGAGCATCGACACCCTGAAGAAGAGGGCTCAGGAGCTGATTGAAAACATCAACGAGGGCAGGCAGAAAGACTACGCATTCATGACCAACTTCAGGGACAGCCTCAAGATCAAGGTGACAGAGTCCCCCAGATGCACGGTGAAGCCCCAGGGGGAGGGGGCTAGTGCACTACTGCTGAGTGATAGGTTCTAGGCCAGAAGCTTGCATGGTACCTCATTTCCCCCTTATAAATTTGTGCGAGATCAGATCCATTTTGCAGGTGGGAAAAGTAAGATTTGGAAATTAACTTGCTCAAGTGAGAGCCAGGATGAGGAACAAAAGTCCATCTACACACACAGCTCAGCCCTGTTATTTCATTGCCAGGTAGGGCCTGGGCATATAGGGGCTTGAGGCATAGCCCGTGTTATCACACCCACGTGTCCTCCAGATGTCCAGTGGCTTGTGATGGGGAACAGGAGTGCGCAACATAGCTAGGGCTTATGTCTAACAAACCTTGATGTTACAGATCTGATGTTAATGATTGTCCCTGAGCCACTTCTCAGAATGCATCACAGATCCTGAGAGGGGGACAGCTTGGTTCCACATGTCATCTCTAAACAACAGACTGACCTCTCCCTGCCTTGTTTCCGTGCCCCCATCCCTACCAGTATACATCCTGGTAAATCATAGAACATTTAAAAAGTAGAGAAAAGTATAACATAAAAAATATAAAAACATTCCTATGATCCCACCACTGGAGGCCACTTGGCTGCAGGCTGTCTCCTAGTCTCTGTGGTGTACTTCTTCCTAACCTGGTAAAGCCTATACTTGATACTAAATTTTGCATCCTGCCTTTGAAAGAAGTTAATTTATAGGCAATTTCACCCCCAGTCACTCGAATTGTTTTTTTTTTTGAAATATAGTTGATATATAATACTGGTTTCAGATTTGACAATTATATACATTACAAAATGCTCACCATGATATGCGTGGCTACCATCTGTCAATACACAAAGATGTTACAGTATTATTGGCTGTATTCCTTGTGCTGTGCTTCCATCCCTTGACTAATTTGTTTTATAACTGGAAGTTTGTACCTCTTGATCCTCTTCACCTGTTTCACCCATCCCCCCCTCCACCTCACTGAGATTGTTTTTACCGTTTTTGTAAGACAAATTGCAGAAGTCTTAAGAAGCCTATCAGGACAAATGTCTTTGAGGCCTATCGTTTGATTTTCTAAGAGTACATCTTATTCTTTAAAAGGTTTCAGACCTGACAGAGAAGCTAGAGGAAAGGATGCATCAGACTTATAATGACCACAACAAGATCATTCAGGAAAAGCTCCAAGAGTTCACCCAGAAAATGGCAAATATCAGCCATTTGGAAACAGAGCTCAAACAAGTGTGCCACACTGTGGAGTCGGTGTACAAAGACCTGTGTGTCCAGCCTGAGGTATGACTACATTCACACATGGGGTGCTGCCTGAAGAAGGAGAGTTGTAGTGGCTGAAATTAAATGTCAACAGACACCAAAGACATTAGCGCCCAGCCCAGGGACTATCACTGCCAGGCCCCTGGTGTTGCTACCATCTTGCTTGTGCCCCTTGCTTGTGCTTGCCGGACCATTGTTGTTTCCCACCAGCCCCGAGCCCTGCGCAGTGCCTAAAATGGGCTTATTATGGCAGGGCCGAGACTCAGGCACCAGATGACACGGGGAAACTTCCCCACCCTGCCTGAATGCCTCACTGCCCCCATGTTTCTCCTGTGACCAAAGTGACTTCTCGGGTGGTTACAAGTAATTGTGGCCCCACACGTGGGGTTAGACATGCAGATTCTTTATTATTCTCACTCTCGGTGTCATTCTGCTCCAACATCCAGCATAAGGCACATAACCTCGCAACAGGAGGGTCAGAGGGCACACAGGGAACTTGTGGGGGGGGTGTCCGGGGGGGGCGTTTGCTGGCCAGACACTGGTCCCACAGAGGTTGCTTCCCTGTCACTCTCCTTCCCTCTCACTGCTGCCCCAGCAAGAGAAGCTTCTGCTCTAGGGTGAGTGGAGTTCACTCCCATACATGGTTAAAAGCGGACTGAGAAACTCGGCTCAGAGGGTCCCATTGTCTTTTTAAGGAGCACAGATGATTAATTTTAAAAGGGAAATTTGGGTGTTTAAAAATTAGTGTCTCTCACTTCCCCTGCCTCCACCACTTCCCTGAGTAAGCTCAGGGCACAGGTCTCCCCAGGAAGGGACCTGAGGCACTCCGGGCCCCAGGGTGACGTGCATTCACTTGCTGGCCGTGAACGCCTGGATCCCTGTGATCGCTCTTCCAAGGATCAAAGCGTGAATATCATGAGTGCCTGGACAAAATAGACAGAGTTGGTTTGGAGTCTTAACAGCTCACAAATTCTCCTTGAAGTCACCCTTCATGTCCCTCCGCCCTCTCCCCAGGCCACTACTTTGGAAGAAGAACAGAGCCACAAGGACAGCGAGTGCTGACGGCTTCCCGAAAAGTGCCCTTTGTGACAGCCACCAAGAGAAGGCTCAGAGGCCACCATTTGAGCACTGCTGAGAAAATTATTTTTCACAGTTCTGTAATGCATCTTGGAAAAAGAAAAAAGTCCTGGGGGTGGATCTAAAACTTCAGCAGGTCCGGCCCTGCTGCCAAGGTCCCAGCTTTGGCACTGCCCACATTTGGCAAATTCAGCCCACCCTAGGTCCACACAGTTGATTAAACGTTTGATTTTCAACCCAGACATGCTTCCTTCCCACGGAGGTGGAAAGAGCAGATGAGCTCTGTGGAAACTTGTCTGGCCCTTTCTTACCCACAGGAGGGGCAGGGAAGCAAAGGTCAGTCACTTGTGCCAGCTGACGCGTTCCCCCACACCACATCCCACGCCCCTCCCCTCCCCCAGGGTCTGGGTCACCGTATGGCCCTCAATGCTCTCAGCTGCTTTCCCTCTGGAAGGCAGAGATTATCACCTCCCTTTCCTGGAACAAAGTAACTACATTTATGTCCTTAAGTGCCAATCTGACCCCATCCCTCCCCTGCTTAAAACCATCTGAAGGTCCCCTCTGCTTGTCCTTGGAGTCCTTCCCACACCTGAAGGGTCCCCCCACCCCTCCCTCTTGCTGCTTCTAAAATGTCCCATCAAGAACAGCACAAAGACACTACCCTCACCATCTCTGCCTCCCTCAAGGCCTATCAGGGTTCCACTTTCTTCCTAGAACAGTGCCTGTCACCTCCTACATCTTCCTCTGTTTCTGCCTGGCTCACACAGGATTGTATATTTTAAAAAATTTTAATGATTGTTTTCCATGTCTGTCTTCCCACATGGCAAGGGGTTCTCTGGCCCCAGTGAGTCACACACAATCAGTTGCCAGCTGCAAACACCACAGCCTGCCAGCGACTCTTCTTTTTTCTCTTAACGTAAAATGTAGTGGGGATCCCTAAGTCTAAGTATGCTCTCACTGCCCTGCACTTGCCCAGCTTGCCAGGCAGTGTGCCCCACTCAGCGGATGCCTGAGCAGGCCATACAGTTCCTCCTCCCGAGCACCTCCGGGGAAAGGGCTGAGAGCATTTCACCTCCATGGTCCCAGTGTGAGCCACTCCAGGGGAAGGGTGTGACGCAGGTCACACCGCCAGTGGTGACAGCTGGGGACGGGACTCAGGCCTGCTGCCCCCGCCCCCCCTCAACTGCCCCCTCCCCTAGACAGGCCAGTGATCCATACTCCCTCCCCACCAGGGACCCAGCCCCTACCCTCATAGGTGTTCACAGCCTCCAGGTTCATGGCATGCCGGATCACGTGGTACTCGTCAGAAATCCCATTCCCCCCAAGCATATCTCGGGCCTGGCGAGCAATGTCCAGGGCCTTCCCACAGTTATTCCTCTTCAGCAGGGAAACCATTTCTGGGGTGGCCCTGGGAGCAGCACAGACATGGAATGAGTGCTGCGTCACAAAGAAATGGCCCCACTCTGGGCATTCAGGTGTCCTTATGCCCAGGGCAAACCCAGCAGGTGCAGAGGAGTCCCCAAGTTACAGTCTCAGCAACAGACACTGAGACCCCAATGGGGGACAAGCAGGCAGCAGCAGCCCATCAAAGCCAAGAGGGAGAGAAGGGACCTCCCCAGAGGCCACCCAGCAAGAAGAACCTTTTTCAGGGCCAGCCACCACCATGCCCAGCTGTCACAGCTGTCTCCCCTCTCCCCACACACTCGGCCCCTACTTGTCTTGATCCTTCAAGCGACCGAGCTGCAGGCAGGCATGAAGGCCCAGTGCAATCTCAGTGAGCATATCTGCCAGCTTCTTCTGAATCAGCTGGTTCCTAGCCAATGGGACGCCAAACTGGATCCTAGGCAGGCAAGGTCAGGGTAAGTAAAAGAGGGGGGCCCACTTCACGGTCCTGTCCCAGGCTGCACCAGCCCAGGAAGCCTTCCCAGGCTGCCACAGTTCCGCCTGTGGTTGAGTCAGCCCATCACTGCTCAGAACTTCCCGGCCATTTCAGAGTGGGGAACTTAGATTTGTTGGGTGGAGGGTGAGGAGTCACTGGCTGGGTAAGGGATGGAACCCGAACCCCTCCACTCCATGAGGCCCCCACACACCTATCCAGGGTATACTGCCGGGCGGTGTGCAAACAGAACTCTGCAGCGCCAAGCACGCCCCAGGCGATGCCATACCGAGCATTGTTCAGGCAGCCGAAGGGACCCTGCAGGGTTGAGAGGGGGCCTCAGCCCCACCCAGGAGCTGAGAGGCCCTGTGTCTGGAAGTAACTCTTAAGTAGGGGGAAACCCCCTCCCCAGACAGTCCAGACCCATAGTCAGTATAAACAGGGGACTCAGGGCAGCCATTTAAATCACACATAGTCCTGGCACCAAAGCTCATACATGTCAGGTCTTGCTCGGTGCCTGCTCACTATTGGTTTGCACACAGTTCTATCCAGCTGAGGCTCTGGATTAGACACTCAGATACAGGGGCTGATGCAAGGAGACAGGACGAAGAACATACATCAAAGGATTGAGATAGTTGAAGCCTACGTGTCCTAGACAGAGCCAGTATGAGCAAGGTGGTCCCCAAAAAGGGACAGCTGCTACACCTCAGTGAGCCAAGCAGAACCTTTCAGAATCACTTCTCTGTGGGCTCCACCAGACAGGGACTGTGTTTATCTGCTCCCTAGTTAGCCCCAGGAAAGATGAACCAGCAGGCGACCCAATACCAGTTACAAAGGAGGCCACTGCTCACCGCCAGACCAGACACGCCAGGCAACACATTCTCTTCTGGCACCTCCACACCGTCCATGACAATCATGCCCGTGGCTGAGGCCCGCAGGGAGAACTTGCCCTTGATCGTAGGGGCTGTGAGGCCCTGCACCCCCTTCTCTAGAAGGAAGCCCCGAATGTAGCCATCTTCACAGCGAGCCCATACCACAAACAGGTCAGCCACAGGTGAGTTGGTGATCCTGAAGACAGGACAGTGAGGGGTCTGGCCGCCACCCCCATCCTTGCCCAACTCCCCTGAGGCACCCAGGCCCCTTACCAGGTCTTGGTCCCATTGAGAGTATAGCTCCTGCTGGATGGGTTGTGGCGGGCTCTGGTCTCCATGCTGCCGGGGTCACTTCCATAGTTGGGTTCTGTGAGTCCAAAGCAGCCCAGGAGCTCCCCCTTGGCTGCAAGCACAAGATGGACAAGGCTGCCAGCCCCCCTACATCTCCTCAATTGAAAATTAGCCTCTCCATGAGCCAGGCCAAAGCAAATGTGGCCCTGCCTTCATGGCACACCCAGATGATGGGGGGCAGGTCCTCCCAGGCCATATTCATAATGCCATGATGGGGCGGGGTCCAGCAGGAATCAGGAAAGAGCTAATCTATCTCAAAGGGCAGGGAAAAAGAGTTAAGCAGGAAATGTTTAGAAGAGCAGTCCCAGCAGAGGGAGGGAACAGGATATACAAAGGTCCAGTGGTACTTTGGGAGAATTCCAAGTAGCTGAGTCTGGGGAGTGGCCAGAGATGACGTGTAAAGATCAGCAGGGGCCCGCTCATGCAGGGCCTCGTGGACCCAGTCAGGAAGTTAATACTTTCAATTTTAGGCTGGGATAGAGGAACACAGAAAGAAAATCAGGAGGGAGATGATGGTGAGAAAGAAGCAGAGTCAAGAGACCTAGGAGGGGACTGTCAGGATCAGGTGTGGGGGTGAGGCCCAGAGTCTGGCAGGGAAACCAGGTGGTCATTGGTGCCATCCTTGAGACAGAAGGCAGACTCGGGGGAGCCCAGCCCTGAGTTCCAGACCACTCAGACCACTAAGATTGTCGTCCCTCCACCAGGCCCCCCAGGCAGCTGCTCACCCAGCCGGGGCAAGTATTTCTGCCGCTGCTCCTTGCTGCCGTAGGCGTAGATAGGGTGCATGACCAGGGAGGACTGAACACTCATGGTAGACCTGTAGCCACTGTCCACCCGCTCCAGCTCTCGGGCCAGAAGCCCATAGGCCACAGATGAGACCCCAGCACAGCCATACCCTGGTTGGGGGAGGGCAGATAGGCAGTGGAGGACAAAGCCCTGCCCAGCCGGGACCAGTGACTCCCACCCAAGAGACAGAGTTGCAGAGGGGCACCCATGAAGGGGGATACCAAGCTGGCCCTGGTTTGAGGGCTTATCCACTTTAATGCAACTACCACTTTCAGACATACAGATAACAGCCTCGCTGTATAGACTGGGAAACCCGGACTCAGGGAAAAGAGCTTTCTAGGACACATTGGGGACTGCAGCATGGAGAGAAACTTGTCCTTACCTTTGATGGTGGGGCCCAGCACACCCAGCTCCCCCATCTCAGAGATAATCTCACGGTGAAACACTGCAAAGGGACAGATGTTCAAATTCAGACCCAGCCCAGGGACAAGAAGCCCAGAGGCCTTCCTGGAGCAAGCAGAGCTGGTGTGCCTGGTGGTAGGTGCCCACCCACCGCATGGGCACCTTCGTTGCGATTGGCCAGTAGGATGCGAGGCATGAGTCGCTCCTGGCAGTAGGTTCTGAAGGTGTCTCTGATGAGGATCTCATCCGCTGTCAGCTGCTCCTCCAGCATCAGCGGGTCTCTCCAGTCAAATTCCGGACGCGAGGCTGGGACAGGGAGGGGGCGGGACTCTACTTGGCCCATTCCACCAGACCACCGCGCCCTCCTCTCCTGGAATCCTCAGCCCCACTTCACCCCCATCTGGCTCCCGGTGGATGTGGGCTGCAAACAAGACCGACAAAGTAGCCTGTCTCCGGGACACTCATTGCCTCAGCGCCTCTGGCCCTGGCCACGGACCTGCCTCCCCGCCAGGGCAGCCCTCGTATTCCTGGACAGAGCCCCTACCCCGACCCGGGGCAGGCAGACCGCTGGACAAGGGCCGCAGACGCAAGGCGCAACGTGGAGTCCTTACGCTTGGTCGGTTTGCTCTGTGTCTTCCCGCCCTTCTCTGCAAACACAGGACCGGAAAATCACCCCGGGAAGGTCCCCCGAACCTCCAGCCTCACCTCCCCACCCGACCCGTGAGCTGGCACTGACCTGTCTGCGCCGCCGCCGACCCCCGCGTGCTCAGTAAACGCAGGCAGACTCCGCGGCTTAGCAGCCGCGCGGAGACGCCTCTCAGGGCCATATGGGCAGCGGGTTGGAGAGCGGGAGAAACAACCACCGCCAGTCTGGGGGAGCGGGAGCGGCCGAGCAGAGCAGCCTCACCCGTGGCCCCAGCCCTTGCGCTCCCGGCCTCTGGCCAGTCCTCACCTGGAACCTTCCCTCCTAGCGCGCAGGCCTCAGTACAACCAAGCCTTTTGACCTCTGGCTGGGGTGGGAGGGGCTGAGGCCGCACAGGGCTTCTCATTGGTTCAGCTACTCCACGGCTCTGCCTTTTAAACGGGAGACGGAGGCCTCGCCGGCGGAAACCGGCGCGTCCAGGCCGAAACGTGTTAGCTGTTTTAACAATCAGGCTACGGAAGATGCGGTAGGCGAGTGGGCCAACCCAATTGGCCAGCTGTATAACTGCTCTGATTGGTCCCAAGAGGGGGCTCGGCTCACTTCTGGTTGGTCAGTTATAAAGGGCGTATGAACAGGGTTTCTGTAGTTAAACAGGGAAACTAGGCACGAGGAAAATGAGTCCTGGAACCCGGGAGGCTGGACCCCCAGGTCTCCCCTAATAGGGTGCTGTGGGGGCGGGGAAAGGAGGTGGGCTCCAGTGGGTGATCTCAGCCCAACCTGTCTGCTGGTCTGCCCTAGGAAGCTCGTATAGCCGCGTGTGACTGTGTATGTGACTTGATGTGATTCTGTTCTTTGTGCATTTGTGCATCTATGCATCTATGCGTGTGATTGTGCCGGCATAACTGTGTATCTGTTTGTGGGTGACTGTGTGTCGGTGTAACTGTTACTGTGTGTCTGAATTACTTTGTGGTTTCTTGTCTCTGTAATTGTAAGCTTGTGTAGTGGTATTCTGTGTGATCATGTGTCTGTGTGACACTGTTTTAATCGTTTTCTCTCTAGGTGTGGCTGTTTGTAATAATATGACTGGATATTTGTGTGTATGTCTGTGATTGTGTATCCATGTCTCAGTGTAATTTGGTCAATGCAATCCTGTGTGATCATGTGCTTGAGTGTGAAATGAGTACATATGTGAGTGGCCATGCTCACTAGGTCACTTTTATGAGTTTGGTGTGCATCCGAATCTGGGTGCCTGGTGCTTGACTATCTCTGTAACTTAGTCACACATCTACTATGGCCCACCCATTTCTCAGATGTAGAGAGTAAGGTTCAGAAAGCAAAACAATCTTGCTTAAGGTTACAGTGGGCCAGGTGCAGATCAGACCAGTACTGGAAGCCAGGCTCCAGGTTTCCAGGATAGCCCTCCACCCCACCCCCTCCCACTCAGGGACACATCTTCCCACATAAACATTCTGGAGAGCTGTTTGTCTAGAGAGCGCTGCCTCACACATCACCTCAGACTGAGCTGTAACTGCGAGATTGTGTCTGAATGTGATCACTGGCCTACCTGTCCCCAAGTGCCTGGGGCCTGGATGGTCCTGGACCCTCCCACTTTCAGGACCCTTCTCACTCTTAATATCCAAATAAAATGGCTTGAACCCTCCTTTCCACACAGCAGGGGGTACATCACCACCCTGAAATGTCTGGGATTCTGCATATCTCTTCTTCTCCTGGTCACCTCCCTCCAGCTATGGCCTCTCTCCTTCCCCCAAAGCTCCCTGCCCTAGAGCTGGCATGGGTGTTGGAGTTCTCTGATGCTCAGGGGGTATGTGTCTGAGGGTAATGACAGCATACATACAAGGAAACCCAAATTGAGGCTCAGGCCTTGCCCCCCTGGGAAGTCCATCATCCCTCCTGGCCACATGCTCCCAGGGGCCTTATTTCCCAGCCAAATGCCCCCTCTCTCCCTTATCCCTTTGCCTCATCTTTCAGAGCCAAACTTGCCTGTTTAGTGCCTTATCCAAAACCAAGGAGGTCTCTTCCCAGGAGAGACTGCTTTCCTTTCTAGGAAATCACTCTAATTCCATCCTTTTTTTTTTTCAAGGAGAAATTCACATAATATGAACCATCTAAAGTGTACAATCCAGTTTAGTATTTTCACAATGTTGAGCAGCCACCATTTCATCCAGTTCCAGAACATTTCCATCACCCCAAAAGGGGACCCTGTACCCATTAGTAGCCACTCCCCATTTTTTCCTCCCCCAGCCCATGGCACCACTAATCTTTCTGTCTCTATGGATCTGCCTGTTCTGGATACTTCATATAAATGGAATCTTACCATATGTGATATTTTGTGACTGCCTTCTTCCACTCAGCAATTTTTTTTTTTATGTTCATGTTGTAGCATGTGTCAGAGCCTCATTCATTTTTAGGGCTGAATAATATTCCACTGTATGGATGGACCACATACTAATGGACATTTTGGACTGTTTCCACCTCTTGGCTATTGTAACTAATGCTGCTGTGAACACTGGTGTACTTGTATTTGTCTGAGTACCTGTTTTTAATTCTTCGGGCTATATACGTAGGAGTGGTATTTCTGGGTCATAGGGTAACTCTGGTTTAACTTCCTGAAGAACTGTCAAACTTTTCCACAGTGACTCTGCAGTATTCTGTATTCCAACTAGCAGTGTATGAGGGTTCCAAGTGCCCCATTCCTCACTGACACTTATTTTTCTTAATTATAACCATCCTAGTGAGTGTGTCAAGCTGGCTTTTACGTTACTTTTTACTCCCTCTCCCCCTTGTGGCACATGATAATTTTTTGCCTTTCTGTGTGATTTATCTATGGCACACCAACTCTGACTGTGTGGTGGTGTGTGTGTGCCGGGGTGAGGTTGTGAGCTTTTCCCCATTAGAGTGTGGATTCCAGGTTGGTGTGGTTGTCTGTGTCTAAATGGGTGCGCCCCCTATGGCTGGGCATTGGTAGCTCTGCTATTACATGCCGGGAGGGTGACAGGTGGCATGACTGTGTAAGGGTGTACGTTTTGTGTGGTGCTGTAAAGGATTGTGTCTAATGTATAGCTGTGTGAATGGCTGTGTGCAGCCGTGTTTTATGCTTTTGTGCCTGAGGCTACGTCTATGTTTGACAGAGTTGCGTGACTGCATCCTCTACAGTTCTGTGACAACATATCCAGGAATCTCATGTGTCTGTTTGGTTGGGACTAAATTGTGTGATTTTGTGCGATTAGGTAACTTGTGTCAGTGTCTAATTATGAATTCTATGTCTGAGAGATTGTGTGACTATGACATTGTGCAACCGATGTTGTATATGGCTGCATTTTCCTATCGGGCACTGTGTCTATGTATGATCTATATGGTCTGTGTGGCTGAGGGACCAGGAATCTGTCACTATGTAATTGCATATTGTGGGGGGAGGGACTATGAACTTTGTGTCTGTGTTGTGTGTTCGTGTGGCCTGCCCAGGCTCCCAGGGCACCTCAGTGGAGGTCCCTGGTGCACAACCTCAGATTCCCCCAGTGAGGCAGAAATCAAGCAGCGGCCAGACCAACATGAGGGTTTGGTGAAGGTCTCCCGCAGATCAGATACTTCCTGTGGCCCCATCCAACCTACCAGGAGAGAGGGTAACTTCCCCTGGCCCAGCCCCTCACACTAGGGCAGCTGTAGTTGCACACACCTCAACCTCCAGGTAGCCCCACTCTGGGGGGCCACACAGGGGGCCCATGGTAGACAGTGGTGGCTGATTGGAAGGGGCTCCTCCTGCCGCTGGGCTTACTCTGGGAGCTCACAACCCAGACAATTTCAAACCAAACTAACCCACACCCACCCCTCCCACTCACCAGGAACAGAGCTTTGGCTGTTCTGGGCCCCCACCTGATAGCAGCCTCCAACATCTGGGGTGTCTGATAATGCTTGGCTTGGCAGGGTGTTGGTGCCAAGTCCCGCCATCAACACGGTTGCTGTTGTTTATTGGAGGGAAGGGCTGCAGGGCCCTCATTGTGGGGGTGGGGGGTGTCTCTAAGCCCCTTCCCAGAATCTCCACTCTGCCTGTTAGCTCTTCCCTAAGAGGGTAACTGATAGCAGGCTCCCAAGTCTCTCCTTTGGGGACTCAGTGCCTCTCTTTACCCAATCCCTGAACCCTCAACCCCTAAACCCCCAGCCCCTGAATATCTGACCTGGCTTTGGATACAGGGTCATTCTTTAAGGCCCAGCCCCAAACAGGCCGAGGCAAGGTCTGTTCCCCAGAAACAGTGACCCCCGCCTTGCCTGCCCCTTATCAAGGGCTGCAGCCAATCAGCTGAGAGCAGAAAGGAGCCCTCTAAGGGGCCATCAGAGCCTCAGAGCCCACGAGGCTGCCAAAGGAGAGGAGGCCTGAGGCCCAGGGTGGGCACCAGCCAGCTATGGCCGCAGCTGAGACCGCCTTGCCCTCCATCAGCACGCTGGCCACCCTGGGCCCCTTCCCGGACACACAGGAAGACTTCCTCAAGGTGGGGACAGGTGGGGTCTCTCTAGGTGGGCTGCCTGGGGTCCTGGGCTGTGGTCACAGAGTCTGGGGGTCAGGACTGCATCTTGCCCTGGAATCCAGAGACCCAGCCGGGGCTGGGGTTCTCAGCCCAGGTCAGGGGGCTGAATTTGGTCTAAGGGACTATTTCTGCCATAAAACTGAAGCTCAGAGCGAACATGATGGGGCTCTAGGCTCAGTGAGACTGCCTCAGATATCAGGGGAAACAGCAAATGTGTCTAGGGGACATCTAGGAATTAATCCTGGGAATTAATCGTGTTGAAGAACAGGGAAGGAGAGGGAGATTCTGGGGGGAAACTGAGGCAAGGCTGCCCCCTCCCTTCCAGTTTTGGTTCTGCCACCCCTTCCCCCAGTGCCTGAATGTGGCTGCAGATAATGTAAGTCTTATCTCCTGTCTCCAGCCAGACCCTTTCAACCTCTGTCCCTGGAACTGAGGAGGGGGGGTGGAGGTGGGGGTGGTTACAGTGTGAGGGAGTGAGGGAGTGGGACACACTGACATGACAGACAAGCAAACAAGATCCCCTTTCTAGAGCCTCTGGCCAGCCTACCTGCCCCCATTAGAGCATCTGGTCCCCTCCGCTTCGGGACAAAGTACCCTGGTGTCCACTGAAGCCTCACGCTACCGGCTTCCTCCCGCAGTGGTGGCGCTCTGAGGAGGTGCAGGACTTGGGCCCGGGTCCCCCCGATCCCACCGGGCCGCCCCTGCACATGAGGCTGGAGTCAAAGGATGTGCCCGTTAAGGACGAAGACGACGAGAGGGACGCGGCCAGTGCCTGGGACCTGGATCTTCTCCTCAGCAACTTCCCAGAGCCAGGCGGCGCACCTCAGACCTGCTCTCTGGCGCCGGGCGAGGGCTCCGGGGCGCAATTCCCGTTGCCGCTGCCCGAGACTCTGGGCGAGTACGCGGGGGGCCCGGGACTGGTGGCTGGGATCTTGGGGCCCGAGGAGCACTCGGGTTGGGCACGCCCAGCCCCACAAGCCCCGGCGCCCGACGCTTTCGTGGGCCCAGCCCTGGTCCCGGCCCCCGAGTCCAAAGTGCTGCCACTGCAGCCAATGTACCCGGGGCCGGGCGCTTGCTCTTCCGGCAACTACTACTCACGGACCGGGCTTTCCGTGCCTCCGGCGCCGGGTGCTCCCTACGGGCTGCTGTCTGGCTACCCTGCTCTGTACCCCGCGCCACAGTACCAAGGGCACTTCCAGCTCTTCCGTGGCCTCCCAGCGCCCGCTCCCAGTCCCACCGCGCCCCCCTCCTTCCTGAATTGTCTGGGACCCGGGACGGTGGGTGGGGGACTAGGGAGGACCCCAGGAGACCCAGGAGGGACCTTGGAGACCGCGCCCCCCAAGCGCAACCGGCGCTCGTGGGCGCGCAAGAGGCAGGCGGCGCACACGTGCACGTACCCGGGCTGCGGCAAGAGCTACACCAAGAGCTCTCACCTGAAGGCGCATCTGCGCACGCACACAGGTGAGGGGCGGGGACCGGGACGGGGCTTTGGGAAGCCAAGAAACCAGGGGTAAGGGGCGGGGCTAGAGGCGAAAACCAGGCGTAGGGGCGGATCCATACGCCAGAGGCGGGGCTAAAGCGAAATCTCAGAGCAAGGGGCGGGGCGTGGGGAGCTAGGAGCTGGCCTAGTACCTCAGGAGCCGGACAGGAAGTAGTGCAGGAGACAGGTGGGAGCAGAAACAGGAGCTGGAAAACCCGAGCAGTGTTTCAGGGAGGTGACGGGTAAGATCTGAGCTAGGGATGGACTGAGGAGCAGAAAGCCTGGCAGGTGGAGTAAGGGGTGGGGCTAGAGGAGGGACTGTCGGGAGAACAAATCGGAACGCCAGGACGCGGCCAAGATACAGGATTCAGGTTTGGGGAAAGCGGGCAGAAGAGTTAGGGTCTCAGGGACCGTAGCTGAGACTATAAAGTGGGTTGCCTGGCATGAAGGCGGAGCCAGACTGTAGGGGACGTGGCTGAGGCTCAGGAGCGGAGACAGGGCTAGAGTCAGTTTCGGGGGCCCAGATAACGAGACGAAACCCAGATGCAGAGGCAGGTCCAGGAGGGCAGGGGTAATAGCTGGGAAACAGAGGGGGAGGATGGGCCTAGGAGGAAAAGCCGGGTCCCCAAGAAGCCTAAAACAGGGGCAGGACCGTGGAATAGCGGTAGGGAGAAGAGGTGAGGCCTATGCTTAGGGGTTCCACAAAGGGTGGGCCGTGTACGGACCTGTTCAGGTATGCAGAGACGCAGCGACGCCAGGCATAGCAGGTGGAGAGCTCAATCATGGGGACAGGGCCTGGGACACCAAATAATTTCGGGGCTCAAGGGCCAACGCCAGGCGCAGGAGGGTACGCGAGTACAAGGGAGGGACTGGAACACAGGGGACAGGGACAACGTATGAGAAGGCTTCAGGACACGCCGGCAGGATACCAGGAACAGGGAGTGGGACGATTGGGGTAGGGAATGAGACCCGGGCCCAGAAAGTGAGAGCGAGTGTGGTGCCAGATCTAGGTACAGAAAAGGTCGGGGTCTCAGAGGATGCACCTGGGTGAAGATTCAGACCCCTCTCCTGAGAGTGAGCTCTTCCCTACATTTTGCACCCTAGGCAACTCACTTGCCTTACCTTAGTCCAGACCAAGGCTGAACAGAGGAGTCTGGCCAGATATAGGAGTGGACCCCAGGGAGGGGTGGGTCACACAGTGGCGCTTACGGCTCCCTCGCTCCCCAAACCCTAGGGGAGAAGCCATACGCCTGCACTTGGGACGGCTGTGGCTGGAGGTTCGCGCGCTCAGACGAACTGACCCGCCACTACCGGAAACACACCGGACAGCGCCCCTTCCGCTGCCAGCTCTGCCCCCGCGCTTTTTCGCGCTCCGACCACCTGGCCTTGCACATGAAGCGTCACCTTTGAGCCCCGCCCCAGCACTTGGACCTTCCCGGGGTCTGGGGTTGGAACAGATCCACGCAGGGTGGTTTTCCTTTAAATGGACCATCGCCGGACTCGCGGCCCCACAGATGCACCGAAAGACCAAGGGCTGGCCCATAGACAGACGTGGGGGAGCTCTAACGGAAGCTCCCACAATCCTCAGCCACAGGGAGCCACACAGAGACGTCTAATGGTCACGCAGACACAGCATGTCTCAGATAGGCAGATTCAGATGGACCCTCGGACACTTCGGATGAAGAGACAGACCCTCAGAGAGCTGGACCTTCAGATCAGCTCACAGGCGTTCCTGGATAGCGGGAGGGGTTGTAGGGTGAGGCTTCCCAGTGACCCTGGGTCTAGGAGGGGGCTTCACACTGTGACTAATGAAGCTCCCTCCACATAGTGGCTGGCATCTGCTGTGAATGGTTATGGGTCCTGTAAAAATGCCGCTCCCAGATAAAGCTTCAGCGTTGGCCTGACTTTGTGGGTTTTGGGTGCTGGAAAATGGGTGGAAGCTGAACCCCCAGAAGTGATATGGGCCTGGAGGCGGGGAGAAGTCGTACACACCTTCACATCCTTATCTCCTAAAACTCAGTGACACCTTTCCGGCACTGCAGGGCCTTGTCACCCTTCCTTCCCCCACTAAAACATCAAGCTATACCGTCCCTGTTTCTTGCCTTAAATCCCAAGGACATTCTCTGGGACAGTCTCCCTCCATTTAAAAGCCCTCAGCCCAGCCCCAGACCAGCACCCTTCACCCTGTTACGATCCAAGTAACCCCTAGGCTAGCTCAGGAGGGCCCCAGAAAACATACAGAAGGAAAAGGGGGAGGATCAGAAGCACAAGTGTCCCTTAAGAAAGTAAAGGTCACAAGAGTTGGACCTCAGAATGTAAGGCAGGGAAGAAAAAAAAAGATTGAATTGGCGAAAGACCCAGAAACCGAGGCAGAGGCGGGATTTCTAGGAAGAGCTCGTATTGGGTAGAACGCGAATTGAACGAGGTGGAGGCGGGGCCTGGCGGAGAGATGTGGGCTATGATTGGCCAGGAGCGGTGGGAGGCCGGACTAGGGAAACCCGGCCTTGAGAGGGCGTGGTCTGGGCCGAGCCAGAGGGCGGGGTCTCTCGAGGATTGAGTCCGCGGAAAGCTGGAGGCAGTCCCAGGTTGGCTCAGAGGGGTCGGAGCCGGCAGGGAGCGACAGCCGGAAGGGAAGCTCCGCCCCCGGGGAACAAGGACAGCCTTTCAAATCTCAGCTTCTCCTCCAGCAGGCGGAGTATCCATCTTCCTGGCCTTGCCGGGGGCGGAGGGGGGAGCCCCAGGAAACTCACACAGCACGGCCCCAGGTTCCAGTCCGGATTGGGGAAGTGAAAGTCGTCTAGAGGAGGCCTCGGCCTATCCTGTGACCCGGCGCCCCACGGTGCCAATACAGATTACTGGACCTCAGCCCCATGGCCGCGCCGAGCTCACTACTCGTGGCTGCGCTGCTGTGGGTCCCTGTAGGAGCTCTGACCTGCTACGGAGACTCGGGACAGCCTGTAGACTGGTGAGTAAGCGGGCACCGACTATGCCCCCGGGGTCGAGCTGGGGACTTCTGCGTCCTGCTTGAAGCCTGAGCTTTCTTCTTTCCCCCGTCCTCCATGTCTGTCCATTCCTCCCCACTTGCAGGTTCGTCGTCTACAAACTACCAGCCCAGAGCGGGCCCGGGGATGCGGAACAGAGAGGGCTGCGATACAAGTACTTGGACGAGGGCTCAGGGGGCTGGCGCGACGGCGTGGTGCCCATCAACAGCTCGGCGGGGGCCGTGGGCCGCAGCCTGCTGCCGCTGTACCGGAACAATGCCAGCCAGGTGAAGGGGCGCTGGACTGAACTTGGGGTGGGACTCTAGGGCGGGGCCGACCTGGGGGGAGCCTTCACGTTGACCCATCCATCTCTCCCAGCTCGCTTTCCTGCTCTACAATGACCAGCCACCTAAATCCAGCGGGGCCCAGGACTCTTCCAGCCGGGGGCACACGAAGGGTGAGGGCTGGGAAATGGGTCTGGTCTCCGTATGCATTTCTCTCAGGTAACCTCTGATCTGCGGGTGGGTGGGGTGGGAGAGTGGGCTGCTCGGTCAGACCCAGGGCATCTGTTTACTCATCTTATATTAGTGGCGTCCTTCCTCTGGACTTTGAGAATTGACAGCTGTAGAAACTGAACCCAGCAGTGGTCGAGACACTGCCCACACCCTCTCCAGGCCTCCTGTGAACCTAGGGAGCTACTGGTTGCACGTGTTGTTGAGATACCTTGAGCAATCCCTTGGTCTTTGCCTTCTGGTTCAGGTGTGCTGCTCCTGGACCAAGAAGGGGGCTTCTGGCTGGTCCACAGTGTTCCACGCTTCCCTCCACCTGCTTCTGCTGCATACAGCTGGCCTTATAGTGCCCACACCTATGGTCAGACCCTGCTCTGTGTGTCTTTCCCCCTCACCCAGTTCCTGAATATTGGTGAGTGGGGACAGGGAGGCAGGGAAAGTCCCTGATTCCCAGGCCAGAATATGGAATAGTCCCTCATTTTTCTCTCCTCTTGCCCTCCAGGAAGACAGCTGACCTACACCTACCCCCTAGTGTATGACCATAAGTTGGAAGGGGCTTTTGCCCAGGAATTTCCCCACCTGAAGGAGGTGATCAAAGGCCACCACATTCGTCAGGGACCCTGGAACAGCAGTATAACACTCACATCAAAGGCAGGGGCCACCTTCCAGAGCTTTGCCAAATTTGGAAACTTTGGAGATGGTAGGCCCTGACATTGGGTTGGAAAGCTCTTCCTCTGCAGAGGGGTGTCTGATATGTCCATAGCCAAGGGCAGGTCAGGGATAGGGATTAGGACTCTTTGGGAGCTATAATCACATGGAAGATAGACAATTAACAGACCTACGTTCAAATATTGGTTTCTGGCTGTGTGATGAATGATTTAACCGAGGCCTCTGTTTACCCACTTGAAAAATGGCGATATCTACTTGGAGGAATTGTTGTGAATGAAGTGATGCATGTAAAGAATTTAGTAAGGACTATTAATATTGCCAGGAAGTAACAGCTGAGGAAACAGCTGATGGGGAAGTGGCCTAGGTAATCGCTAGTAGTGACCCTGCCCCTGCCCATGTCCCCTTTCTGTCCTCTATAGACCTGTACTCTGGCTGGTTGGCAGAAGCCCTTGGCAGCAACTTGCAGGTCCAGTTCTGGCAAAATTCTCCTGGTATCCTGCCCTCCAACTGTTCTAGGGCCCGGCATGTGCTGGATGTGACCCAGACAGCCTTCCCTGGGCCAACTGGGCCAACCTTCAATGCCACAGAAGACCACTCCAAGTGGTGTGTAGCCCCAGAAGGGCCCTGGGCCTGTGTGAGTGACATGAATCGGAACCTCAGAGAGGAGCACCGGGGAGGGGGCACACTGTGTACCCAGCTGCCAACCCTCTGGAAAGCCTTCCAGCCTCTAGTGAAGGCATGGGAGCCCTGTGGGGAGGAGAGCAGGGTATTCTCTGCAGGAAGCCCAGTGGACCATAAAAGAGCTAAAGCTCAGGAGCGAGTTTAGACTTCAGCTTGAACCCCAGTTTAGTTAATTAACCTGTGACTCAGTCTACCCATCTGCAACATGGAAGTACTAACACAAAGACTCAAGATTTTTCAGGAATAAAAGGAAAGTGGTGGCCAGGGCGGTTAGCCTTTTCTTCAGGTGGGTACTGGGACTCAGAACAGCATTGCAGGTCCTCTTCTCTCCCTAAGGGTCTGGGGCAGCTGGTGTGCAGGTGAGACCCAAAGTGGGACCAGGAGGAAGCATCCAACCAAGACTCACGTCCTCTCTCTATGGTAACCAGGACTGGTGCTCCCACCCTCAACAAGCACACAGGCAAGAGGATGGACACACGTGCCTGGCTTGCCAGGGGAGCAGTAGGGAGCCCCAGGAAGCTCACGCAGCACAACGCACTTTATTTATATGTGTACATATGTATACAGGTGGCTGTACAGCGCAGAGCCAGAGGCCCTTTTGGCTATGGACCTGGGGGCATGGGACAGGGTGCCCCTTTTTTGGTCAGGCCTGTTGGGGGTACAGCTTCAGCAGGGCACCAGGAGGTTGGCCCCACCTCAGGCTTGGTGGATGGGACCATGAGGGAAGCAGGTGGGGCTGGGGGCCCTGCACTGCTGGGCGCACTCTTTGTCGGGGCTAGGGAGGGGGTCTGGGGATCCGGGGAGAGCTTGGGAGAGACGGACTTGGAGCGAGGCCCGCTCAGCGTGGTCCGCTCCTCTACCACCTCCAGTACCCAGCACTCCCGGCCCCGGGGGACCTCAGGTGTGGTAGGCGCCAGAGTTGTTGGTTTCTGTGACCCCTTGGAGTCCAAGCCAGGAGGTTGGGGCGCCTTGGCCTTGGCCCCAGGCCGCACGGGCTCCACAACAATGGGTACCGGGGCCGTGCCTGCCTCGCCGGAGCTGCTGCGCCTGCCTGTCTCGTGTTCCTGCACCGGGCTCAGCGCAGCCTTGGCTACAGCCCTGGCTGCCCCACCCAAGCCATCCTCCGTCTGCACGCTCTGGTGTCGCGTCCCGCTGGCGTCCCGCTCCAGGTTCCGGCCCCCGGAGGTCGTCGCGCGGGGCGGGGTGCACGCCTCGGTGCCACCTGGGGACTCTTTCTCCTTACTCGAAGCCTGCAGCCTGGGGGCGCCCTCGGACAGAAGTGGGTCCGTGCCCAAGCTCAGGGGCGACTCCTGGCGACCTAGGCGGCGGACAGCGACCTGCCGGGGTGCGCCAGGACCCTCGACGGAGGGCGTCTCGCCATCAGACTCAGCAAGGCTATGTAGCGCCAGCTCGCCGTGGAAGTCCTTGCGGAAATCCGGATGGCCCACCTCCAGGCTGTGTTTGCGCAGCGCACCCTTCTTGTCTGCGCCCAGCGAGGCTCCCAGCTTCTCTGCCGACTGCACGCGCTTGAGCAGCGGCGAGCGCGGAGGCTCAGCACTCTTGGGGCGCGGACGCACCACTGGCGGCGACGAGTGCAGCTTGGCTGGGAAGCTCTGCGTCGTGTGTGAGCTGCCCACCGTGTGGCCCGGCAGCGGCGGCGGCGATGCCTGCGTCGGGGAGGGAGTATGCGCCAGCGGCGAAAGCGGAATGTTGCCTGCAGACTTGCAGCGTGCAGAGCGGTACTGGCGGTGCAGCTTGGGCGACAGACCATGCAGCGTGCTGGGCCTGATGTGGTGCGACGACGATGATGCAGGAGAGTTGGGCGTGCTGGAGGCCGGCGAGCTGCTCTGGGATGAGGCTCCTGCCGGGAGGGAGGGTGTTGCAAGTGGTGCGCTGAAGGCCCCACCCAGATGCCCCCAGCCACCCGGCGCCCTAAGCCCCAGCGCAGGCGCAGAGTGTACCTAGGTAAGCAGAATCAGGCGTGGAGCGGTAGCTGTGGGTGGGCGAGCGCGCCGGCAGCCCGTGTGTGGGTGAGCCCGGGAGGCTGTCGCTGGACGACAGCGAGCGGTTCAGGGATGACAGCGAGCGGCTAGTGTGCAGCAGGTTCGACTGCTTCGTGATCTTGCGGAACAGCGAGCTGCGCTTCTTGCTGAAGTCCAAGGAGAATGCCACCTAACCTTGACCAAACTGCAGAGCCCCGGCCCCTCCCACTTTGGGGATTCAGGAGCACCCCTGGGACCGCCAACTCTTATGGCCCCTCCTCCTCAGCTACAACCCACCTATCAAAACAAAGAACCTCTCCTAGCTCTGGTCCTATTTGGCTCCCCTCCCCTCAGGCTCCACCAATTCCTTTCTGGGCATTCCCAGCCCAAGCTAGGAACACCCATCAAAACAATCGACTTTTCTGGCCCCGCCTACCTCTCTAGCACCTCCCTCTCCGCTACAACCCACCCAAGGGTCAGGAAGAAATTCACCTTGCTCGGTTCAGTGTTGCCCCTCTCATTCAAACCCCACTCACTACTTGTGCAGGCCAAACCCACTGATCAAAACAAAACACCCTCCTGGCCCCACGCACCTCTCCTAGCCTTCCTACCTATAAGGTAAGAAATTATCTCAACTGGCCCAGTCATGTCGGCATGTTCTTTCCAGATAGAAATCTCCGAGTCCCTCCCAGTCTTATAAATACATCCAACTGGGCAGGACTATCTGCACAGCGCCCTCTTTAGTCAAGAACAGGCCCTGCCCACCTGCCCAAAAAGCCCATAAAACTTTTCTCCTAGCCTACAGACTAGCACAGCTTCCTTTCCTGGCTCCTCCCACTTTCTCAGCCCCTCCTCTGTCCTCTGGTTTTTGCTCTTCACTGGGGGGCCCTGGCTACCTTTACTGTGCCCCTTCTTTCCTCACCTGTGGCCCTCCCACATAAGCCCCGCCCACTGCTAAAAAAATGAGTTTATCAAGCCGCTGTTTATGGCCCCACCCACCTCTCCTGGCCCTCCTTGGCAGAGGGCCTCTTGTTCCTCCGAGCCATTTTGGCCTTGTAACTGCTGCGCCGCGCAGGGCCGATGCGGATGGAGGTATTTTCGAAGGGCGTTGTGGTCACCGCTACCTTATTGCCACTCTAAGGGAAGAAGCAGGGGAAATGCTCTGCTCGCTCCAGCTGCCCAGGCTCTCTCCCGCCCTCTCCCACCCTCCCTCCAGTTCGTGCCGTCCCTTGCTCTCACCTTAAGAATCAGCTCGACGACCTCCGGATGCACCATGCCATGCACAGGCTCCCCGTTCACGTGGGTGATGAGGTCCCCAGCACAGAGCCCCGCCTCCTGGGCTGGGCCCCCCTCCTCCACGTGCTGGGGATGGGGCACCCCACAGGGGAAGAGTTAACAGGATTGGTAACAAGGAAAGTCCATAAGTTTATGTGCCAGACACCTAGTTCCTCATGCACGGTAATCCTCATAACACCTTATGATATGTTAATTTCCCCCATTTTACAAATGAAGAAACTGAGGCTCAGAGAGGGAAGTGACACCGTGGGTCAGAGGAGTCTCATCCAGGTTGCCTGGTTCTAGAGGGTGAACTGTCCCCCTGTCCCTTGGGGGCGGTGTGTGGGGTGTCTTCTCTCCCCTTGACCCTGGGACACAGACCACACGCATGAGTTGCTCACCCAGACAATGTGGTGGACACTGTAGACATCTGAGTCACCCATGTACACGCGGATGGCACGCAGTGTGAAGCCGTACTTCTTGCCCGAGCGCTGAATGGTGATGGGGGAGCGAAGCCCACTGACAGCCGGGGAGTAGTCCCGGCTGGGTGAGGAGTCCCGTGAGGACGGGTTGGAGGAGAGAGAGCGTGGAGACATGGGGCTGGCCAAGGGTGAGCTTCCATGGGGGTCCACTGCAGACACAGAACCACGGTCAGAAGTCAGTGCCAGTAAGACACTGCTCTCTCTGTATCTGCTCCACTCTCCTCCCAAGTCAAACAAAGCCCTAGCGCTCTCATTAGTCCATCCCAGAGCCAATCACTGTGGACGGGGAACATACAGTGTTTTCATTGGCTTATCCTGACACATATAGGAGCAGCCCCTTCCCACTGGGGCCCAGTGTCACCTGCAGGAATCATAACAGACAAGGCAGTGGCTGAGGCTGACTTGATGACTTTGCCCCCCGTTCGAGGTCTCTTCTCTACCGCGGGGTCCCCTGATAGCTGTTGGTGCCGCGCACGGCGCAGAACCAGGTCATTGGTGGCCCTAGGGCCTGATGTGTCCCCATCCTTCGAGGGTGGGCAGAGGTCGCCGGGGTGCACACGGTCAGCTGTAATAGAGCAGGTGGGTTAGAGGTCAGTCCAAAGTCATGGACTTCTGCATGCTGTTCCCTCTGCTAGCATGCTTGCTCCACTTCTCTCCCTTGCTGGATTTTGAGTTTCATGACAGCAAGTAATCTATGCATCTAGCACAGCTCCTGATACAAAGAAGAGATCAAATACATGTGCTGACTGAGCATGAAATACGGGGTCTTTCTCCTGTTGATGAGAACCCCAGGTTGAGTTCAAAGAGTGGGTGAGATCTTGCATAAACAGCACCAGGCTTATAGAATGCTCGGTATTTGGCCACTGGATTAAGGCAGGCGGCAGGAGGCGGAACTCACTGGCCTCTGGGTCCCCGGCGCTGGGGGTGCCATCCCCGTGAGCAGCTTCTTTGGAGACCCTCGCATCCAGCGAACTTGGGGGGTCGGAGCTGGGCCGGGGAGGCCTGCGCAGCTGGGTCTCATCCTCGTCCTCTTGGGGGGCGCTGAAGCGGCTGGGCTCCAGCAGCGCGGAAAAACGGCGGCGGGCGCCCAACGGAGGGCTGGCCTCCCCCTCCAGGAAGCTGGCCTCCGATGCAGAGAAGCGTTTGCTGCGCAAAGGGGCGTGGTCAGAGGAGACACGCCCCTTTAGGCCTCATCCCCAAACTCAGCCCTGCCCTTGCTCACATCTCCGGGGAGCCTCCTCTCCAGGTCTTCTCACGCAGGGTCAGGCCGCCCAGGCCCTCCCGCTTGCTGGCCACCTTCTCCTCTGGGCCCTTGGCACTCGGTTCCCGCTTGCTGGTCCCCGCTGCGGCCACGGGGGTCGTCTTGGGTTCGTGCTGTGACAGCTGCTCCATGCTACTATACACCTGCAAGGGCGAGGGGGTGGTGGCAGGAGGAAAATCAAGCTCCCAGATCCCGCCTTCGCTCCCAAACAAATCGGCTTCCAGCAAGTGGACCCGCCCAAACCACGCTCCACCTTCCCACGGCTG